TTTTTTTTTTTTTTTTTTTTTTTTTTTTTTTTTTCTGAAATTGTTTCCTGCCGGCGATTTAAATCACCATTTGTGTGAGTTGTGGGTATCGTCCTGTGTACACCTCCGTGTTGACACATAGCCCCGTCGTTAAGAACGAATCCCCAATTTGGTGTTCCTGTTTGGTTCCCCCCCTGTCACAGCGTGGTTCCCTGTGAGGGTCCTACAAGCAAATATATGGCTGCAACAGTTACGCCAATTCATGAGCAATTGTGTTCACTGTTGGTGCGTTTTAAAAGCCACATGGTGAGTGAGAATTTCCCCCGTGGGAACATCACTCATGTGTGCCAACCGCGTAAACGAGGCTAAACAGATTTGCCCTGAAGGATAGGCGGCACAGGGGTGTACTACGCCTTTTCTAATGACATACCCTTCTTTCGGTTACCCCCTTTTTTTCAATTCGCCCACGGGATGCTAAGAGCTATATTTGAGGTTACATTGATCAGTTGAAAAGCCATCACCTGGTTATGCAAGGAAAAATGTGTACAAAGAAAACAGAAAAGGGGAGCGATAACATGGAGGACGTCTTAGAGCATTCCCACAACGGAGCAATATCATCGGTTTAACGTTCGGGTAGACAAACAGTATAACAGAATTGGGTGTATTTACATGGCTATTTTTTTTTTTTTTTTTTTTTTTCGCATTTCCTCAAGGGAAATATGAAAAAATGTGAAAGATAAAATAACTTTTTCACGTGGATGTACTTGATCCATTTGCAACGGGCAAGTGACGTAAACGAATTAGACATTTTTTTTTTCCAGAAGCACATGTGTCGTTCGAGGCCAACATGCATCCATTTCTTCATCCCTCTCGTACAGTTGCTCACACTGTAGTAGCCACGAATGAGGGTTAACATTGTTAATAAAAAGGAAAAAAAAAACGCACGGTTTGCTACATATAAATGCCTGTTTTTTTTTTTTTTTTTATTTTTTTTTAATGTCTTCATTTAGCTAAACATTTTCTTTTTACATGTGCGCTTAAAAAAAAAATGCTCCGAGGAGATTTACGGACAGGAGGAAACGCCCATGGGGCGAGTGAAGATGTGCCTCTGATGGAGGGAAGCCCTAAGGGGGGCACCTTTTACGACATACTCTTTCCGGACATGTCCCTGAGGAGGTAGTCACATCTCGTGAGGGTTGTTCTCTGGAGTGGATCACCCTCTACACGGGGGCAGCACACACATGGCAAATTCCCTTTTACTGGTCCTGATGAGTATTTCGTGTTGATGACCTCTTCGCGTTTGCTTTTGTGCCCCCCTCCCCGCAGAATCATCGTATGGATTAGCTTTTTCCAAATTGTGATTTATATGTTGAGTTGCCTTTTAAGTGAAAATTTAACGGCGCCGAATGTACAGGTGTTGATGTTTCTAGGTGCCACGTATGGCCCAGCCGTCAAGTACGTTTCGCATGAAAGACAAAACAAAAAAAAGGGGTCATGCGAACGGCTCACACGTACATACGTTCATGTTGCTGGTGGTGGTGATGTGTAGAGGCGTGTATGCCCCCGTTTGGCAGCACGTTTTTTTTTATTTTAATTTTTTTCACACACATTATTCCCGCGCAGGCAAGGAGAAATCTGGAGACTGCTATGCCCCGTTTTCCTGCATGCGAATTGGTGGCACTTAATAATAAACATAGTGTGCATGCTGAATTTGGGCCTAGTGATAGAAAGCAAATACAAGAAGGGGAATTTTCTTTTGCTTTATTTTTTATCAGGGGTGGTTGGCAATGTATTAACAACCATTTGTAATCCTTGTCAGCTAGCTGTGGGTGCATCAACCAGTGGATTTGGCCTGATTGGATTTTCCATTTTGGAAATATTTTTAGCCTGGTCCAATTTGTCTCGAAGGGCTAAGAACTACTACATTTTTAATGTGTCCGTTTTTGTGTTATTTTTTTTTTTTGTTAGTTTTTCTCCTACCGTCGATTTTTTTGGGCACATCGGTGGCTTCCTCTGCGGGGCCTTCCTGGCCTGCCACTACAACAGAGCCATGGGATACGACTCGTACGGCGTCACAATGCGTCCATTAGTTACAATCGCGGCGAATGGGGCGACTGAGACAGTTTTGCTGCCCGTTCACCCTAAGATCCCTTTACACGTTCTACTTATGCCCTTCCACTTCCCCTTCCCTTTTCAGCTTCCAAACGTCCCTGTACTACAGCTTCGCCTGTATATGCGCGTTAACTGTTTTGTACCTGCCAGTTCGGCTCTACGTGACGGACATGCCATGTGCACTTTTCCGCTAGCCATGCGCATAATTTTTTTTTTTTTTTTTTTTTTTCAAACAAAACAATTTTATACCGTTAATGTAGGGAGATGCAGATTTTGATGAGATTCCCCAATGTGTAGCTCAAAAAGTGGGCTCCACTTGAGGGAAAAAAAAAAAAAAAAAAAAAGACATAACAGGTGCAAAATGGGCAAACATGGGAAGGGCACAACGTTTGTGCTGTCCCTTACGTGTTACCGCTGCTCAGTCTAGTATAGGTGAGGGAGCCGCAACAAAATGAGCTTGTCTGAGCCGTCCTAAGTTCGCCTTTCCCTTAAGAACCTAGGAACACTAAAATTGAGCGAGTCGCGTACCTCCCGTACGACCTCCGCAAAGCTTTCCTTATTCCCTTCGGAGGCATGATCAGATATAAAAACTTCTTGCACAAAGGGTAGGTACACTTCTTCCCATTTCAGCATCTCATTAAGGCAAAGCAAAAAAATAGAAGAGGGTCGCAGAAATTCACCAGCGTAAACAAAATCAAATGGAAGACCCCTCTGTTTTGTTTGTACTCTAATTCTCCTTTGGCTATTTGTGGATATAACACAATTTTCCCACTGAGTGAGTTTCTTTAAAATGTGATGGAGCTGTTTTTGTGTTGATTCACTTTCCTTTGCAGGTGATAACGTTGTCACAAGGATGCTTGTTCGAAAGGGTAAAGAGAGGATGCACGAAATGATCTTTTTGGTCACATCTAAACACTCCTGACGGGTGTCAGAAAATAGAATCGGTAATATTGTTCTTAACATTAAGTAGTATAGAAAAATGGGTTCTGCGCAGGATCTTATTTTATTTACCAATTCTTCAAGTATGTCTTGTTTGTGCATGAGATGGACGTGCTGACCACTTAGATGCAGTTCGCTTGAAGAGGGTAGCCTTTGCAGAAATATGTACAGTGTTTTTTCGAACGCTTCTAGAGATTTGTCCACAGGGCAGTTACTCTGGTTTTCCATCCCATTGGATGATGCATGGAGGAGGGACAGCCCATTTCGTGTGCGCATTTTACGTCTTGCAGAGACACTTCCCCCTTGCATTAGTTTCACCAGAAAGAAACACTCACATATGGAGCTCAGATCATACAGACTTAATTCTTCATTCGTGTATAGTGTTCCATGATTAGAGGATGGAAGGAGGTTATTACTCTCTTCCCTTTTTACATAATCCCCTGGGTGGGCAGCACACTCCCTTGTCACTGTTTCACTTGCGTTGTGTGCGTGACTGCCCTGAGTGTTTGAATGCACGTTGCTCCCCCTTTTGCTTTCATTATATTTTTCAACGAACGCATCAACTATGTCGAGAAATATTTCTTCGAAAAATGGAATGAATGATTGGTTGTGTATCATCTCGTGTTTGTTTATGGCCACCCGCATGAATGATTTGAGCAGGTAGGGTAGGTATTTGCATATGGGGTCTCCTGGGGGGTTCGCGGCTGGCCTGCTTTGTACTGCATCAGCGGCTACATACGGGTCTACTTCTCCGTCCTCACTGCCATAACCTCCATACCTTTGCAGAAGTACAGCAAGTAAGTGAGACACCTGGTCGGTAAGGTGACTTTTGTATGGCACTCTAGATCGTACGACTGCCTTATGCGGTTTTCTTTTCTTTTTTAGCTTATCGCAAATTACAGTGTCGGCCCACCAGTTAGAAAATAAAGTGAAGTGGCAGTAGGAGCAGAGGAGGAGGTACCTCTGGATGTACGCCAGGTCGTTACACGTGTTGGCGATGTAGGGGTCGTTCGTTCTGATGACCACATCTATCATGTTTTTTGTGGATAAGAAATTTCTGTACCGTTTGGCGAAATTTTCCTCTGTGGGGGGGACGTGTCCTTCCAGTGGTGTCGCTCCCCCCTGCTGGTCACCAGGATGGAGAAGCAGGTGGTCATTCTTTACAAAGTTAAGAAGCACATTGGAGGAGAGTATGAGTAAGTCGAACGGGTTGACATACGAAGTGGAAGTGAGTACAAGACGTTTAATTAACAAATTGAAGTCATTATCGTAGAACCCGTTTTTTACAAAAATTTCCTGCATTTTGGCTAGCTCCTCTACATTGTTCACCATTTTTGGTTCTATCTCCTTTTCCAATTTGCCGTTAAAATAGACAGCGTACTTTCTCATGGTGCAGTGGAGTGCGGGTAGGACAGACCCGTTTGGGTAGTACCCAATTGAGTCAGACACATAACTTAGGAGAGTTACAAAGCTGGTGTTGATGCATGCGTTTCTTTGGAGGAAGTTAAAAAATGAATCGTTGAAAAGGTACTTCTGTAGCAACACAGCAATATGTTGATCATGTTTTTTTTTTCGAGTTAAATGTTTTACGATCCAGTAGCAGTGAATGACTTTTTGTTCCTCATTGGTTGTGTGCATGAGTATCTCCTCAACCAGTTGTCGGAGCAATCCTACGTCTTCTATTTTGTACAGGCAAGTCAGCTCGAAAATGTTAAAGAGATAATGGTAGTGATTGTTTTTTACGGCCAAGTGGAGGTACTCTGTCAGATGCTCCTTAATTTTGTCGCTGTGGTAAAGTATTTTTTTCTCCTTTTCAATCTCCTCTTTGTGTAGCGTGGATAGAGTGAAGAAGTCTAGGAAGGAGCCATTAGTCTTTTTTGTATTTTCTAAATGGCTTATTATATGGTTCATTATTTCTGCGTCTTCGTTGTTCATTGTTAGAAGTTCTCTCACTGTTATGCTGCTAAGTTGTGGTGACGATGTGTTTTTGTTTTCCCCTTGACATATCTCTTCTTCATTTGGGAGACCCACTTGGGGAGTGCTGTCCTCACTAGGTGTGATGAAATTTGGCCTATTTATGGTTACCCCTTGGAGGCTACTTCTTTTCGCAGCGTAATGCCTGGCAGCTCTCTGGGTAGCCCCTTTAACCAACTTGACCTGCCCTTTTTTGTTTATCTGTACATGGCGCGCACTATGAATGAAGCGGTGAGGCCGACCCCACCTGATGATGTTGTAGAGAGTCATTGTTGTTCATCCTTAGAGGATCCCCCGTGTTAAGGAGATGCTTAACATGGCTTTGTCATTTGTGGCAGGAGGCATGGTGTTACTTTGAAGACTGCCCCACGGGGGATAAAACAATGCTGCTTTATTGAGGCATACACAGGGGTCGTACATTCTCATGGGAAGTGATTTGAACTAGAACAGGGGTGCCAACTGCACAGAGAGGGGGGAAAGAAGAAGACTGTGCATAGGGGGACATTACTCGTTCGGCTTCATCTACACTTGGAAGGAGCACCTCGGCTTTCTTTCCACACATGTTTAGCATTGTGGACGCAAAAAAAAAACAAATTGCAGCATTTTTTTTTTTTTTTTTTTTTTTCCACCTGATCTTGCTCTGTGTACATATCATTTGGCAAGCATTTTTTTTACCACACGGGTGACCTTCCCAACTGGTGACACATGATGTGATGTAGTTTTTTTTTTCTTTTGTACATATGCAAATGGGAATAAATATTTTTTGCTGTTCCATTTGGGTCAATTTACACAATTATGTAATACTACACTGATGATGAAAAAAAAAGAAAAGTTACTTCTGCTCGACTTTTTATAGCCATTTGCTCGTTGTAGCCCATCTTCGTAGGAAGGCTAGTGAAGAGGCCAACACGGGAGGGGGAGGGCTTAAGCATTATACTTTGCATATTGCTTAATTTTTTGCCATTTTGTCCCGTTGTTATAGCGGCGTGTGCCTCCCCCACCTGGGCGATCACTCCATAATTACGTACCTTTAGTAAGGACAGCGGTACTTGTCATGCCCGTGGTATGCCATTCAGCTGGACCCTCATCATTGTCTCGTATTACTTGCTCTTTTGTGAAACGATCCATCATGTGTTTGCAGTGAGGAGTGCACGTGGTGGCTGCGTATATTCCTTCTTGCGGCCAAGTGGGTGCGATTTGGGGAGGGGGAGGCGAGACACCAAGCTCGGGGCGTACGACTTCCGTACAATCGAGCGTAAGTGGCAAGTCGTGTGGAATGCGAAGAGGCTCCTGGATAGGGACTTTGCGCGGTTCAACCGGCGTGCTCGGGAACGAAGCGAAGGTGAACGAAGCGCAGATGAACGAAGCGAAGATGAACGAAGCGAAGGTGAAGGACGAGATGGTGGACTAGAGGGGGGCAAATGTGAAGGCGACCCGGGAGGGAAACTAACCCAGCGCAAGTTCTACATCCTGGACATGTTCCCCTACCCCTCGGGTGAGGGTCTGCACATGGGGCATATGCTCTGTTTCACCATAACGGACGTGTTGACAAAATTCAAGCGAATGACCAACCACTGCGTGTTTCACCCCATCGGATGGGACAGCTTTGGGCTGCCATGTGATAGGATGTCGATGAAGCTAAAAGTAGACCCAAGAAAAATTATTCAAAAAAATATTTTTAATTTTAAACAACAGCTACTAAGAATGGGATTCCTTTTCAACTGGGACCATGAAATTAATACATCAGATGCAACATTTTACAAGTGGACACAATGGATTGTCATTCAAATGTATTTAAAAGGGTTGGGTTATAAAAAGAAGTCTTATGTAAATTGGTCCAAGGAAATTAAGTGTGTAATTTCAAATGATGAAATGAAGAATGAAGCGAACGTGGAAGGATTAAAAGTAATAAAGAGGAAGCTGCTGCAGTGGTACCTTAGGATTACCAAGTACGCCACAAGACTCATTCACGATCTGAAGGACATCCAGTGGCCTGAAAAAATTAAACGCATGCAAATTAATTGGATAGGAAAGAAAAGAGGGATCCTCCTGAAGGCTAGGGTTATACCTATTCATGAGTGGTCAAGTGGGGAACAGTTTAGTACTCCTCCGCATTGTTTCACTCCACATATTCTTTACCATAGCATATATGCGAATGATGAGATGACTCTCCTTTTTAATTATTTGTACCGTGAGGGGGTGGCGGGTTATGGGTTCTTCGATTCGTTTGTTAGAGTGCAGAGTGGGCAGTATCCCATGTTAGCGTCTGACAACCAACTGGAACGCCTCATTTATGACCAGGACGCTGTTGAAAAGGTGCTCAGGGTGATGAAGCCAAGGGCACCTACGGTAAGGCTTCCATCCAACGGGGGGGAGAAAAAATATCTTCTTCAATTTGACTCGGATGGGGAAGAGAACGAAGGGGATACTTACGTAAAAATATTTCTACACGAAAAGGAGGCCATCTTTGACGGGGACAAATTATTAATCAGTGTGAATCATCCTGATATTCACCAGATAGTAAATGGGAACAACACTTTATTATCTTTTGTGAGTAGAGCAGTGAGGCAAAACGACACCGAGAGGTTAAAGGATGAACGGATCCTCTTCACAGGTTCTGTTATTTACAATCCCATAATAAGGTGTTACATTCCTATATACCTTTGTACATTTGTATTAGAGAACAGTAGGAAGTTGCTCTTCGTTCAGAGGGGGAGGAGAGATCAAGTCTGTGAAACGGCTAAGGGGGAAGAGATGTTGCACAATGTGTTATCCTCATCGAAGTATAGCAAAAGGTACAGTGTGTACAGTCTGAAGGACTGGCTGTTTTCGAGGCAGAGGTACTGGGGCGAGCCCTTTCCTTTTCTCTTTCCCGTGAAAGGGACAACAGGGGGGGATGTTCCCGCCGCGGGACAGCAGACACACTCTGTGAATAGCCAAGCGGAGGAGGGGCCAAGTGTGGAGAATACAACTGTGTGCAATTCGCCCATGAGAGAGATCTATATAGACGACGTCCCTGTGCATCTGCCAAAGTTTCACAAAGGAGTATACGAATTGGGTTCTAATAGGTACAATGAAGGATCTCCTTCCGTCTTGTCCCGATTTAAAAAGTGGGTTTTCCAAAGGAGAGGAAATGTTTTGTATAAGAGGGAGTGTGACATAATGCCCCAGTGGGCAGGGTCCAGCTGGTATTTTTTAAGGTACCTGGATTCAAAGAATGCGAATCGCATTTTTAACAAGGAGATGGTAGATATGTGGATGCCTGTTGATCTGTACGTTGGGGGCAGTGAGCATGCTGTGTTGCATCTTCTGTACGCGAGATTTTTTCACAAATTTTTGTACGACATGAAGTTGGTTAGCCATAAGGAGCCCTTTCAGAGGCTCTTCAACCAGGGCCTCCTCTTGAGTGCCACTTCGTTCTTTGCCTACACGACGTTGGACGGAAAGTTGGTTAGTTATGCCACGGTGAGGGGTGAAGCGGGGGAGGGGAATAATATCGAGCCGGATGCGGTGAACAAGCAGGGCTCTGTCCAAGCGAGCAGCGAGATGAGTAACCCTGGGGAAGTGACTCAGCCCCCCCCATCCGGCCAGTCTCTCTTATCGGAGCAGCCGACTCGCGGCACGGAAAAGGCGCTACAAAGAATGGTGCCGATCGCGGAGGGGAAGAAGTACAGAAAGTATAAAATTCCAGAGAAGCTGGTGGTGCAGAGGGAGGGAAAATATTTTCTTAAAGACGCTGCTCACGTAGAAGTACATGCCATTTATGAAAAAATGTCCAAGTCAAAAGGAAACACAGTGAACCCAAACGATATTGTGAAAAAGTATGGGTCCGATTGTCTGCGATTGTACATTTTATTTTTAGGCCCTATAGATCAGAACAAAAAATGGGACCTCAAGGGAATAAAAGGGACCTTTAAATTCTTAATCAATTTGTACAGCCTGTTTGTGAAGGATGTAGATGCTTCCCATTCGGTTAAGGAGAAGAGACAAGAAGAGTGTAGCGCCACTACGGAGGTTGACTCGGGGGGGGTTGTTCAGACATGTGGTGACGATAATACTGTTGAACCAACCAGCGAGGACAACAGTGATCATATAATTTGCAGCAAGTGTAGGAGGAAGAAAAAAAACAAGCAGATGATTCTTAAATTTGAAATGATTAAAAATGGGGGGAGCCAATATGAAGAAGGAAAATTCAACCCAGAAAAGAGGAAGGAAGCCATAAAACGAAATATTAGCTCGCTGTGGAGTCAAGACCATTCGTACAAAGAGCTATCAGATCGAATTGTAAAAAAAAAGGAACACGAAATTGAAAGGGAGAAGAAAGAAAAGGCAAATTTTTTTATTAACAAAATAAGTGGGTGTCTAAACAGCATGAAGCTAAATACAGCTGTTTCCTTTTTCATGATGTTTTTTAACGAAATTAAAAAATGGGACTACATCCCTTTGAAGATTTTTTTAATTTTTGTTAAGTTGCTTTTTCCCTTCTGTCCTCACATCTGTGAGGAGTTTTGGTTTTTCTATTTAAAGAAATACAGACCGGGGAGGAAGCAGATTTGTTACTTCTGCAATTCTAACTTGATGTACTTTTCTCGTTGGCCCTCGTTGTTCCAGTTGGAGGCACCAAGGATGGGCAAGCTTTCCATCCGGGTGAATAACCGCCACGTGACGTTTATGGAAGTTGAGGGGGGAAGAAGTTCAGAGCGTTGTGGAAATGCGGAAGGCCCCACAAATGACGAAGCGCCGGAGCGATCACAAAGCATCATTCGTGAAGCCACAAATAGAATAACGGATCGGGTTGAAAAAGAGGAGAAAAGGGGCAAACGCCTTGTCAACGTTGTGTACATTCCAAACAGAGTCGTAAATTTTATCTTCGAGTGAGGGGCGGCATGCGTGTTTAGCGAAGCGCATAATTGAGCGCGATACATAGTGCCCCCCTGTCTACTTCTGGCGTGTCTACGTCTTGTGTGTCTGATGGGGCGCCTACCCAGGTGTCTCTTCGAGCGCTTCTGCCAGCTCGTGGTCCCCGAGTATGTCCTCCCCCGCTTTTGTTTTTGTTGCCTTTTTTTTTGTAATTTTGTTCAGCTTCACCTCTGCATCTTTGAGCTCCCTTTCGAGAGTCTTCTCCGTGGCGCTTTCACTATACACGGACTTTTTTAAAGATTCCATTTGGTTCTTTATAGCTTGGCAGATTAACTCTAGCAACTCTAATTCTGTTTTCTTCATAAAGTTGTTATAAGATGGACAGGATTCCTTGTCCCTTAAGTCATATGCTGTTCCAGTTGCATCTCGAAAGACCCCCGGAAAGGCAGAAATTTCATATACCTTCCTAAATCCTTCTTTGTTAATATCTTCTTCATCTTCGTAGACCTCCAGTGGGACTAACCTCAATTTTCTTTTGGTCAACTCAGGCTCATAATTAAAGTCAGGCGTTGGCCACTCCGGTAGGACATACCACCATCGTATGAGGAGCTGTGCGACGAGCTTTTCCTTAGGGGTCCGATTGTGTGGGTCGAACGTACCTATAATGATGGAATCTGTTTCAATGTCGTTGCTTTGGCTGAGGCTATTTTCGAAATCGTCACCACTACTGTGCCTGTATTTTCGTTTTTGTTTATTTTTGCGGCTGCCTTTATCTCTCCTTTTGGTACTGTCACTACTCCCTTTGCTGCCTTTCTTTATCTTTTTCGTGACTACACTTTTTTTGCGCTTCTCTTTTGTTTCCCCTTTCTGCGCAGTTTTGGTGCTTTTTTTTTTTTTTTTTTGCCTTTATCTTTTTTCGATTTTTTTTTTTTCAGAGTACTCCCCTTGGCTTTTTGGTCAGAGTGTGTTTTAGAGGATACATGCGCCTTTGAGGATACCTTATGTTTTGAGGACTCATTTTTTTTCTTTGCGGCTGCACTACTGTTAACTACTACTACTACCTGTGCACTTCCTTTACTGTTCAAAATCACTTCATTGTTCTCTTTACGGTGTACGTTTTTATTCTTAGACCTGATGGTGTCACCATTGCTGGAGCTTTTTTGCACCAGGTCGCTATGCCTATCGTTACTATTGCCTACCCTACTTGGGGTCGAATTGAGTTGATTTTTTATTTTACTTTTTACAAGAATGGGTTGGTCCGAATCACAGCTGGATGTGCTATCTTCCTCTGTTGAGGAGTCGCTTCCTTTCCCTCCGCCTTCACTGATTTTTGTCTTTGTGCTAGCCTTTTCTTTTAAACGGCGCGCAGCATCTTTTTGTTTTGCAGTGTGCTTGTTTTTACTGCCTTGGAAGTCGTCACTACCACCGTGCTTGTTAATAAGATTGATCAAGTATTGGTCATCGCTACTTGCATCTGACTCAGGATCGGCGTCCCTGTCTTTGTTACCAGTTTGCATGTGCCCATTGATGCGGGAACGTTTAATATTTTTTACTTTCTCTGTCCCTTCGTTCCCGTTTCGTTTCTTTAGAATTGCGACCCCCATTTTGGCAACAGCGTCCCCGCTACTAATTCCAGCTGTGTCTCCCATTTTGACGCGCATTTTTGCCTGCTCAATTTTTATCGTTTTGAGAAGCGGCACGTCGTCCCCGTCGCTATCATCACTGTCGCTGATGACATTGACCTTGTCTGCTGGCGGTTCGCATGGACGTTTGTGGGACTGTCCCTCTGCACCTCCTCCCCCGCTCCCGTTTCCACCTCCGTCTCCTCCCGCACTGTCACTCCCGTTGATGATGTTAAGGCCTATGTTACTCATCCGCTTGCTCAGATATTTCCTAACTATTTTATCTTCCACATCCCCGCCGGTACTATCATTGGGCCCATTGTTATTGTTAGGGTTATCACTGAGGCTCGTGGCTTCACCCCCGTCATCGTTATGTCTACTAGTGTCATTCTTCCCCCCCTCGTTCGGGCCATTTTTATCAATGTGTGTTTTCCTTGTTTCCTCTTTTGTGAAGAAATGGTTTACCTCATTTGCATTGTAGGAGTGACTTTCCTGTTCACTGGCATTTTCCTGCACCTCACAATTTGCGCTTTGAACTTTTTTCATTTTTTAAATTTACACTTAAACATGGTTCGGAATTTTTTGCACAATTTGGCAGGCAGGAAATGCAGCAAGGTTGTGTGTGTGTGTGTGTGTGGAAGGGTACGCGAAAGTAGGCGCAAATGTTACCGCGAATTAAAAGGCAAATGCGGGGGAGATGGAGAAGCCAAGGCTCTTTATATGTTTATATTCACACGAGATGCCCCTCAGCTTGTGTAGTAACGTTAAATGGATCGACTTTTGATTGTTCTATGAGGAGGTGAAGGGGATTGTATAACCATCATATGGTGACTTATGGCAAAATGCGCAGAGGTGGGGGAAAATCCCAGATGAAGAACTTCTTCCTCTCAGGGTTGTCAGAATATGCTCATGTAAGAAGGAATCAATTCAAACATGTGTAAAAATAATCGGCGTCCCTTTTTCTTATAGATTCACTTTTTCCATATCATCAAGGGGAAAGGTGCTAAGAAAAAAAGTAGAGCGAAAAGAAAAAAAAAAAACAAAATAAAAAATAACATAAAAAGTAGAAAAAAAAAAAAAAAGAACAAAAAGAACAAAGCAAAAAGAAAAAAAAAAAAAGGGGGCGGTTCCCCATACATGCAAAGCACAATTGTCGCTTTACAAAGATATTCCTTCCCATCCTCTTGAGGCAAAAGTGACCAATTAAGGCCCAGTTGAAAAAGGGGGAGATATAAAAAGTAGGAACACATAGGCGCGTACAAGGCAAAAAAAAAAAAAAAAAAAAAAGTGGACCTTTTTTTTGTTTTGTCAAACGGGGAGATACAAAAAGGGCAAGAAAAGATAGTATAGAAGTGGGAAACAAAATTATTGCATGAAGGGAAAAGTGAAGCGAGCGTGAAGTGAAGCAAGGGACAGGCAACCCGTCCATGAAACAGTCCATCACATCGAATCTCCCATTCGTGTTCCCATTTTTTGGCCAGCGGGGGAGAATCTCGAATGTATGTTATACAATACCCCCCTGCGTTTTAGGCGCACATTTTTATTTTCCCCTTTTTGAAAAAAAAAAAAAAAAATCCAAGAAATACGACAAGTGCTTAGTTAAGCAGTTCGAATGTGTACTGTGTAATGGGGATATGTTTTCCATTTTTTCCCTTTCTTTTGAATTTATAAAAAAAAAAAAAAATGGCCATTGTATTTCCGTCCCGTCCAGGATTCATTCATACACATCTTTGTGTACTAGTGTGTACGTGTGTCCCTACCTATATGCCCCAACGTTACTTTCACATGCATTTTTCTTTTCGTATTGTTTTTCCCGTGCCACACAATCGATCGGTGGAGTGTCCCATCCAGCAGTGCAGTGTGTACTCAGAATAAATTAAGGCTGTTTTTTTAAAAAAAAAAAAAAAATTCCTTAAAAGGTATCGATGAGCTTTTAAGAAGAAAAGCAGTGTATGTTTAAACAAAAAAAAAATTGAGATAAAAAAAAAATGAAAAATAAAAGTCAAAATAAAACAATTCACGAGCTGAACAACGAATAGGGGAGCACGGTCCACATGAAGAGATAGCAAATTATCACACAAGTGATGCTTATGCAACTTCTGTGGATGGACAACACTACATGGGGTAACACAGCTCCTCTGTAGTGGAGGTGGATGCGTAAGCACATCTTCCTATACATATAAAACGTTTGGTATTCGTTCGCCATGTCTTTCTCCTTCCAGGAAGGGGCATAAATAGCACGCCTCATGTGAACTTACCCTTTACCAAGTCGTCCATGTGAATGCCCTTTCTGCGTCTCGAATCGGATTGATTCTTACCTCCTGCGTCCCCTTGAAAGGACAGCCCCCTGGAGTATAAGGGAGGCAGATCCAAAAATCTCTCAACCACTTTTATTTTACAAATTTGGGTCGTAAGTAATTGAAAGAAGGTGTTTGTGATCAAATAAATGAGTAACCCCGATGGCATGGATTTAAAAAAAAATAATGAAGATATATAAAATAATCTCATGCCTAGCTTTGACACTTGTTTCATTTTTTTTTGAAAATCGCTTTCATCTGCAAGGAGGGAACTGGACTTGCTTTTGCTTAGTGCCTTGTCAATCAATGCTGTTAATTCATTATTTGATAATAGCAAGAGGGAGGACAACAGAGGGAGTATATAATATGGGTCAGGTAAAGAAAGACTGTCTAACCATAGTGGAGACTCAAAAGTAAATTCTTTAAACACTTCAGGATAGGAGGCCATTTTTTTCATAGAAAAATAAAATATAAAAAATAAAGGGGTTTGGAAAAATGCCATTAGGATAATTGATTTGGGGATTAAAGATATCCCATGGGTATTTCTAATGTTAAGGATTTTTTTTTTAAATTCAAGTGCCATTTTTATATTTCCATCTTGTGCATTACTTTTTAATTTATTTGTCAATTCTTTTATTAGAGGGTTTAATATTTTTTGCTTTCTTCTGTCCCGTTCTGCCGATACGGTTAAGGGTAAAATAATTATCCTCATGAATGACGTCGTTGCTGCGATAGAAGTCATCCAAGAACAATCGAACATAATTTTTGTGCAATTTAGTAATTCATAAACGAGTTCGACATACCAGGAAGATTCGTAGCTGTCTACATCTTGTTGCAAGTTAGCTTTGCATTTTTCAATGATGAAATGAGTGTACGGGATGATTTCATCATTTGTAACTTCCCCTGGGGGGACATCCCCCAGTGTCTCTTCATTTTTGTCACTTTTGGCCCATTCGAGATTTTCTTCCCCCTTATGCTCACTATTGCATGTTTTTTCCTTGTCCCGTGTGGAGCACTCTGCCGATTTGTCTGCTCCGATCCATGGGCTGTATCCCTTTGAATTGGCTCCATCACAGCTAGCGACGCTACTGGGTAGGTGAATAAAATTTCGAACGTGGACAGAATACGCCCCCCTGGTACCACCACTTACACCCTTTACTTCTTTCTCGCATGTGCGATTATGCCCATAATAATTTATCGCGCAGTCATGTTTCCCTCTTTTGAAAAAGTTGCTACAAAAAAATATATTCTGAGAGCTTTTCTTTAATATTCCATTGTTCAGCTTAATGTGTGAGTGGGTGAAGCTCATATTATTGAATAAGGGGCTAATTGGGTAAGGTGTAAAGAACAGGAGGGAAGAGCGTTAGGAAGAAGAAGCTACATATCTGCACCTTTGCAAATCATGGCAGTTCTGCGCGGAAAGAATGGAAACAGAACGAATATACTCTCCTTGGGAAAGAACGGGGATGCTATCGTATATGTACATTTAGGTAGTTCCATTTTATGTATGTTTTTTTTTTTTTTTTTTTTTTTTTTTTTCCGTTTTTGCCTGACCGTTCATACGATTTGGCTAGATATATTTTTTTTTTTTACCGACTTGTTCATACAATTTGATAGATTTTTTTTTTTTTTTTTTTTT